CCGCGATTTAGGCTGGATTTTAGATTTTGGCCCCTTCTCTGATTGAGTTCGACACCCCTACTATGCACTGAGCCAAACCGGTTTCGGCACTTAGTGAAGATTATAGACACTGTCAGCTGGGTGTTGGGTGAATCCTGATCTATTGAGGGCAAGCAAAGAGGCTGTGTGTGGCTGGTGGGAGGGTGAGTTATCCACAGTCTTTGGGCTTGTCAAGATGGTATGCTCAGCTATCATAGTTTAAAAGTCCATTCTTGATGTTTTATTCATTAACCATGGGTTAAATTCACCTGATTTAGATGCTCGGCTAGCTCAGTCTGTAGAGAGCATGAGAGACTCTTAAATTCACCTGATTATTTTGTGGGTGTTTTTCAGATGTCCCTGGTGGATGAATTAAAAACCTGGTGCCTGTTGAAGATTCAGAATCTGGAATTGAAGCTTTCCGGAGATTCTAGGGCCTCCCGAGCTAAATCCACGCCGTCTACTTGCGAGTCCTCCACAGGTAACCCTCCTGCAGGGAGAGAGCCACTCCACCCAGCGGTGGTGAGAACCCCCAAACCTTGTTCTCTCCTGCGTTCGGAGGCGGTCCCTGGGATAGGCTGTGGAAAACTGGATGGCAGGGCAAACTGTAGGGGCCAGGACCAGGTGTTCTCACTGCTGTACACGCAGGTCCTGTGCAGAGGGAAGCACTCTGATCTAAGCGGCCAGCACACTGGAGTGAAGGAATAAAAGAATTGCTTTGATCATTGATAGCAAGTGCTTCAGGTACAGTGCCGACAGTGTAGAGGGGACCCCGTCCTGAGGGGTGATGAATGGACATCCGTCTCCTCAGCCGGTGCCTGTACCTCTTCTCCCCTCTTCTCCGGTGTGATTGGCCGTATATCTTTGTCCTACTCTATGAGACCTCATTGAGTGCACATCCTATATTGCAGCTGCCTCAGGTGCTAGGTAAGGGATGCTTCCAGCAAATCACCTCTTCAGTGATTACCCGCAGTGATAGCTTTGAGGACATTCCGAGACTTAGAAATTAGGCTTCCATGGGGGATTTTGGCATGTTAAGCGTCTTTTGTTACCACAGACCATCTCTGGGACTGTGGTTTTATCTTCTTTATGCTCGTGACAACGGCGAAAATCCTTGGCAAATTTTTCATGCGGGGGGTGGTGACGGAGCTTGGCGTGGAGCTCTGAGAAGGGGGGATAGGACCGCCTTTCTTCATTGGAGCTTCGCTCAAGGGTCCAGTACCTGGGGCTGAGGTGTGGGAACGGATATACATTCTCATGGGCAAATACCCAGGTATGTTTTGAGACACTTGGTGAGCTGTGCCATCCTTAGCCGTCAGGAAATGGTGCCCAGAGCCTTCCAGAGTAGGTTGAGACAGGCTAACGCCGTGGTTGGCAAACTGTGGCTTGCGAGCCACATGCGGCTCCTTGGCCCCTTGAGTGTGGCTCTTCCACAAAATACCACGGCCTGGGCAAGTCTATTTTGAAGAGGTGGCGTTAGAAGACGTTTAACTTTAAAAAATTTGGCTCTCAAAAGAAATTTCAATCGTCGTACTGTTGATATTTGGCTCTGTTGACTAAGGGGTCTGCCGACCACTGGGCTAAAAGGAAGGCCAGCACATTTTTGGCTTAGATGCCACCAGCATGGCTAACAGTAGCCCTGACAGCCTTGACAAGCCAGGTGGTGATCAGGAGCGAAGGGGCAGGAAGGGCAGAGCAGAAGCTGCTCGCTGGCTGGCGATGGGAAGGCTGGTGGTCTGCAGGGTTCTCGGGGCTCTCCAAGGCTGACCTACAGCCATGTGACTGTGACCTTTGCTCTGACTTGTGCTTTCCTTCCCAAACCAGCTGTGGATCCATCAGTGGTGACGGCAGGCCCAGTCGCAGCTTCTGACAGTTCCCCTCGGGTGGTCAGGCCCAAGGAGAAGGGACTCGGCTCCGCGGCTGCCCTCCGGCTCCAGCAGGAGCTGTCCTCCTCGGACTGCACGGGCTCCCGGCTGAGGAGCGTCAAGGTCCAGACCGCCTCGCTGCCCTTACAAGAGGCAGCCAGGTGTGCCCAGCAGGCCGGGCCCTGTGTCCACAGAGGCACCCAAACCAAGAAGTCTGGGAAAAGTGGGCAGACGAGGCACCGAGCCCAGCCGCCAGCACCCAGCGCCACCTGCGGGCAGCCACCGCCAGCCACAGGCAGCGAGCAGACTGCCGCTCACATCCGAGACGCCTCCCAAGCTCTGGAGATTACCCAGTACTTTTTTGAGGCTGTTGCTACCCAGATGGAGAAGTGGTATGAAAGGAAGATTGAAGAAGCACGAAGCCAAGCCAGTCAGAAAGCCCAGCAAGACAAGGCCACCCTGAAGGAACATATTAAAAGTTTAGAAGAGGAACTTGCTAAACTAAGGACGAAGGTGCAGAAGGAAAATTAGGGCCTGGGAAGTGGATCCACAAGAAAGCATCGCTGAGGATTTCTGGTGTAGCAGCTGCAGAGTAGCTGCACCCAAGTGTCAGAGTGCATGTAGCAGACTTGCCTTTAAAAAAAAACCACCGGGTTCTCAGTCAGTTCTCAGACACACACATTTCCTATGCCCTTTAGTTATGAAGACATGGACAATTAAACTGCAACCAGGGAAAGCTTGCTTAGGTTCAGGTTTCATCACAAATTTAAAACCTCAGCCCAGGTTCATCTGGAGTTCAAAAGCTCAGATTAAGCGAGCCACCCAGATGCTCAATGATGTGTAAGCCTAAACCCTAAAATTCAGGATGTACAAAATAATATAAATCAAAAGCAAGAAAAAAAAAAGTTAATCCCTTGTGGACTCCAATCAAGTCACCATTCATGTAAACACACCTGCTGTGCCTAGACAAGAGTGTCTTTCCGTAAGAGCTGTGACGGAGACGGGGAAACACCTCCCTAAAATGCAGAATTCTCAGAATGCTGACATTCTAACCAGCATAAATTCCAAATTTATCCAACAGAGTTTGAGGAGAAAGATTTTCATAATGTCACAAGATGCAGTATAACCTTAAAATGTTTTTAAAAGTCAGTGTTTAAAAAATGAGTCGTCAGATAATAGCACTGGGAATGTTTGTTAATAACGAACAGAGTTGAGAAAGATTCAAACCATTTGATCACAGTTTCTATATTTTCAGCCAAAATATAGAAATACTATATTTTCAGTTAACCCTTGTGATTTTAAAGCAGATTAATGGGGGGAGGGGTTGTGTGGAGTCACATAATAATTACCTGAAATTTTGATAATCTAGAGTACCTTTCTGGATTTGAGTTTATGCATCTGTATTTTATAAAGAAACAAGGCTATTTCTTGCAAGTATTTCATTTTTAATTGAGTTCTGTCATTCAAAAACCCTAAAAGCTTTCGCACTGCTTCGCAGTGACTGAGCTGAGTTAGACCCCAGCAGCCCAGCCTCCCGGAGCCCTGAGGGTTGGCTCTGCTCTATGGATAACCGGCACAGAACTGGCTCGGTGTGTTGCATCTTTCAACTTAATCACCTTCAGACAGCTTGTCCCTTGGAATGTGGGATTATATTCATCTCCTCAAAATTCCATGTATGCATAGAAACCTCCGTTCTATTTCTATAAACACAGGAACCGAGTAACTGTTGTCTGTAATTTTGAATAAAAGGTTGCTTATTGAGCCAAAGAGAAAAGAATGACTTTCTTGACATGGAAATACTCAGAAAAAAAACAAAGTATGTTTTCAGGCCCATTGTGGGGTTTTTGCCTTCCACACTCACTGTTGTTTTTCATAGTGACAGTATGGATATAAACATTCCTCATAAATGGAGACGAATGTCGGCATTACTGAACCTGGGTAGGGAATTAATGTGATGCTCTCAAGCTTGTTTTCATGCTCCTGAGCTTGTCTTGTTCCTCAGTAGCTGTGTAGTTAGTCTTCCCAGAGACCTCTGGATTGCTACTTGTGGAGGTACTTCTTTTCGTGTTCCTGGTGCAGAATCACAGCGCTGGTCAGATGGCGCGTTCAGACCATAGCATGCTCTGGTGGGAAATTTTCTGATTATGTCCCTCCTGCCCACCAGGAGCAGGCAGCTTCTTATTGTGAGCTGGATATTTCCATCCAAGACGCAGTTAGGGACGAGACGAGGGAGGAATGAGGAAGGTCGAAGGTACCTCATCTGCAGAGTACACAGATCTTGTTTCTCAAAGTGGGAAAACCTGTATAAGAGGCTGGGAGGTGGAGCAGGAGGTGGAGGTTGCCCAGGGATAGAGGGCAACCTCTCGAGACCAAAGCAGTGGCTTTGATGGCACCTGCGTTTGGTCTCTCTTGTTCCTTTTGGTCAGAAAACGCAGCTGTGGGTCCGATGTGGCTTTTCTTCTGTCTTTGTGCTATCTGCTCAAATGAGCAAATGCCACAATAGTACTTTTCCAAAGAAGCAGAACTATTAACTATTTATAGCTGGTCATGTAGGTCATGTTTCGAGCTGAGGCTGGAACTTTCAGTAGCTGTGGAGAAAGTGATGTAAAATGCATCAAAGTTATCACAGTATTGCAATGTTGTTTTTTGTTGTTGCTAGTGTGTTATTGCATTTGAGTACAGTAATATTAGAATGAATATCAGTTCTAATCTTACTTTTGACTTTGGGAGCCCAAAATAAAGGAAGTGAACTTTTCCTGTTATATCTTCTTTTTTTCAGTCAAGCATTGATACTTGAGAGGTATGTTGTCTTCTGTTAACATTTTTATCACCTTGAATTTGTGTTGCTTCCAGGCATTAGACTTGGTTCTCAACACTATGGATACGAGATTCCTTATTTAAAACATGAAAGGGTGAATATTTATTTTAGCCTACATTTTCATTTGTGTAGCTAACCGAATTTTATGGTTCCTGAAAGAGTGCCTTCACGCAACCACACTTCACCCTGTTTCCATAAAAGTATAGTTTAATACATTTGCTTTAGAGATCAGGTGAACTGCATGAAAAAAAAAAAAATTTTAAAAAGCCTGTTGTAATATGGAAAGATTTCTCAGTGCAAGCTTAAACAAATGTTTTATTTAAACTGTTGACCTTTTGGAAAATACTGAACAAAGAAGGATAACATTACTTGTCATTTTATGCAGACAAAGATAACATTTTTTTTAACTAACAAATTGTACCTAAAAGCTAAATATAATTAATCTTGTAATATAAAAGCCAATCAATTAAGACTTAAAAGACAAGTCAGTTTTAAAAAGCTAATGAACTTTTTAGAATATGTCTTATGAATAAGAAAAAGCATTAAAATGTATTTTGTTGTAACTTTAAAGGGAAATATGCTTTTTCTACATAGTAAGTCAAATATTATTATAAATGTGAATATATTAATTTAAATTAATTACACAGAAGCAAGATACAGTACAGCAAAGCACTTTTTTAATACAAAATGGGTAAAGAGATTCACTCTTCTCAGTAAACAATTAACTTAATTCTAGTATAATTTCTCAGCTGCCTGACTCAAGGAAGGAAGTAGCTCAGGGTAATTTCTAGTTTGGCACTGAGTGACAATTTGCTTTTTATTCTCTTTGGATCTTGTTCTTCATAACCCTAATTTTGTTTTCAAAGTTGATGTGAGCAGCTTCCTTTTGCTATTTTTTTTTTTTTTCTTTACAAGCATTTTCCTTCCTTCATCAAAGAGAATTAGGTAAGTATGGGTCTCAGCCTCTCAGCTCTCTGTCTTTGGCATGATACGTACCAGGAAATATTCTACTGTCCTCAAACTTTCAAGTTCTGTGTCTCTGCAGGCACCTTCAATAGCATTGCCAAGAGTTTATCATTTCCAACCTGACGGCACACTTAAAAGGGGGCAGTGACATCAGGGCAGTCAATATGCTAAATAAGAAATAGCCTTAGCCACTTCTCCTATGCTAGAAAGCTTTTGTATTAAAATTTTAAAGATTTATTCTTCAAATACATAAAATGAACATTCAAACTTCTTAAAATTACACTTTAGGAACAAGACTTGCACATTCAAACAGGAGTGTAGTTTACAGGGAACATACCCAGGAAGGTAACTTGTCTTTATCAGAATACTGATTAAGATGGTGAAAAAAACGTATTTCACCAGCAGTTCTGTTCTGGCCAACATCTTTCTTAATGACCATCATTTCATATGTGAGGAGAAATTGCTAAATAAGTCTTAGGCTAAACAACAGACTTGGCCTATTATTCAGAGGGAATATTCAAAGCATGTAAGTGAACTAATAAAATTAAACTGTTCTTTATAAATTGAAGTAAAAGCTTGTCAGTTATAATAATTGAAGTAAAAGCTTGTCAGTTATAATTTTAGCTTCTATAAGGTAAGAATTAAGTTTTGTGTCTTACCCATTTTAAAAACCAAACTACAGTTTGTTTTTTGTGAAGTCTCTGGTATTTGCATCTTACAAATTCAAACCACAGATGCTCTTATATTTTCCATATACACCACTGCTAGGAAGAACAGCAAGTCACTGACTTCCTCACATCTTAAAAGGATGGTTTTTAGCTTTGAGATTTTAGGTTTTCTAGAGACAGCCTATACTTGAGTATGTATGTCAGTCATGCTACTCAAAGAACATTTTTACCGAGTTCTCTGTTCAGAAACTGTTCACAAATGGCTTTTTCATCAGATGGCTTTGCAGTAAGTAGGTTGGCTAATGCACATCTTTATAAAATATAAAAATTGTCTCATTGCGGCATTTAGAAAGAGTAGATTACCCTGTGGCAAAGTATACAGGAATATTTTGTCTTAAGAGCCGAGGCTGTGGGACGTGGAGGTGGACCCTGGCTGTGGTCATGGACATGGGCCACCATCGGCCACCGTTTGTCATTCTGTGTAATCTTTTCTGTATCTTTCAGGTGCTGGTCAGATTCTTGGATTAATTTTTTAGATCTGTTCTGCAGATGAACAGAGGACTTCAGGCTGCGGGACTGCCAGTTCCAGCCTCTTGCCACAGACTCTCTTTGACTACATTAACTGTTATAGTACATTTGGTCTCTTTCAAAAGTGTTCCGAAGTCCACGGCTTTCTCTGATGTATTCTTTAAGCTCTGTTTTTTTCCTGACACTGGAGAACCTACGTCACTGAAGATCTTCCCTAATGATTTACTGTGCTACTTCAACATGGATGTTAAGGTAATTGCATTCGTTTCATCTTCTTTTGGTGTTCAAGGTGTTTCTCCTCTCCAACAAAGAGTAGATTCCCAGTGGTGGTCTTTTTCAATATTAAATCATGACACATCTGAAGAATATACCTCAACCGCTCTGAGGGATAATACGGGAGGGGTTTTCAATAAAGTTCCAGGTTATCTCCTGAGGTCAGTATACGCCCAATCCTACTTATCATACTGTTTTTCAAAACAGCTTATACAATGTTATAAGCCAGTTATATTTTAATTTTTAAAAAAACAGCTTTATTGAGGTATAATTCACATATAATACATATATACGTTTTAATGGATTTTAGTATATTCAGAGTTATGCAACTAAAACCTAACTTTATAATACTTACATCACCCCAAAAAAGAAACCCCATATCCAGTTACTCTCCATTACATCTAAAGCCCTAGCAACCACTGATCTACCTATCCCACACATTTCCTATAAACAGAATCCTACAACGTGATCTTTTGTGATTGGCCTCTTTTACTTAGTGTTTTCAAGGTTCATTTGTGTGTAGCACGTATCAGTACTTTACTCCTTTTTATTGCTGAATGTTTTATTGTATAGATAAACTACATTTTATTTACTCATTTATCAGTTGGTGGGCATTTGGATTATTTTTGGCCATTATGAAATAATGCTATGAACATTTGTGTACAATGTTTTGAGGACATGTGTTTTTAGTTCTGTTGGTTGTAAACCTAGGAGTAAACCTGCTGAATCAAGTTCAACCTTTTGAACAACTGACAGTCTGTTTTCTCAAAGTAGCTGCTCTATTTTATGTTCCCACCAGCAATATATGAGGGTGTAATTTCTCCACATCTCTCCCATTAGTTACTTCCCTTTTTGATTACAGCCATTCTAGTGCATGTGGTGGAAGTGTAGTATCTCATATGGTTTTGATTTGCATTTCCTTGATGAATAATGGTGATGAGTATCTTTTTTATGTGCTAATTGACCATTTCTTGTACTGGTTTTTGCTTCTTATAAAATCTGCTGACAAATCCAGAAACATTTTCAAAATGCAGGATATGTTTTTCAGTGCTAAGGCAATTGTTCTGATGCGGCTTTTCTTTGCCCTCTGTGACGTGTTCTGATATTTTGCTGGAGTGTTGTACACACAGTTTGACTTGACTTTGGGCTGCCTGTCGTTGAGCCTAAGCTCAAAAAACACATGGAGCCTTTGAAAATCTTTCAGGATAATGCTATAGTTAAGATTTTGCTAGAGCAAGTGTTCTTTCTAACTCCTTGAGCTGCATATTGCCTTGTGTAATCATCATCCGGATTGTAACCTGTAAGAGAAAGTGAGATCTGGTCACTGTTTTACCCGGTTAATCCAGGTGCAGCTGTATTATTCTGTTTGTTCAAGTTAAGAACCAGTGCTGAGAATTCAAATTGCTGCATATTAGGGAAGCCAAAATCTAACAGTCAGGAGTGCACGGTGAATGTCAGTCATACTTCCCAGACCTTCCTGCCATAATATTGACAATATTTTCCTTTGTGTGTGTTGGGGGTAAAGGAGTGTTAAGAGAAAAGTCTGGTGATGCTAGTGTAGAATGTAGATACTTACAGTAAAGATTGTAAAATTTTAAATAGTTAAGAAAGTGGAAAATCAGTAACATTAGAGCAGTGATCAAGATATCTCATCTCAGCCGAAACCGGTTTGGCTCAGTGGTAGAGCATCGGTCTGCGGACTGAAAGGTCCCAGGTTTGATTCCAGTCAAGGGCATGTACCTTGGTTGCGGGCACATCCCCGGTAGGGGGTGTGCAAGAGGCAGCTGGTCGATGTTTCTCTCTCATCGACGTTTCTAGCTCTCTATCCCTCTCTCCTCCTCTCTGTAAAAAATAAATAAAATATATATATATTAAAAAAAAAAAGGTTATCTCATCTCAGTGACTTTTATATTCCAAGATGTCTACCGAACGTTTTTTAAGATTCACCAAACAAGACAAAAAAGGGCTGGCAACTGTCATTACTATGATCTTGTTCTTACCTCCTCGGTGGCACTTTTGTTTCTTTTGAATTCTTCCCTGGCCCAGTCCTTCAGGTATTTGCGATCAGAATCGTTTGGAACTTGCCGAATGGCTTGCAAAATCCTTCTGTAGAGAAGGAGAACTTGCTGCCTTCTCAAGAACTGTGCAGGGGAGGAGAAATAGCCATTACAACCGCGCAATGTACAGCCCAGGGGGCTCCACTGTAGCAAAACAAACTGTAACCAGATCACTTCTCTTTGGCCCTTCATTTTGAAAAGACAAAGAGAAATCCTTCTATTTTTCTCTTAAGAAAACAAGTTTATTTGGGCTGTTTGCTCTGTCAACCATAAGAGCCCTTAAAATGGAGAGCTGAATATTGGGCAGAAAAACTGCAACCACAACAAAAGCACTTTTTCTAAATGCCCGCTGTTGTGAAAATCCCCCTGTAACCTCATCTGCTCTTTCCGCAGATCAATATCATTGGCAGAGCCTCAGGGCTCCAGATCAAGGGCCTGCCCAGTCTTCTCTGTCCTACAGGACTGGTTTCTGCCTACACGCCCCACACCAGCCCTCCCCAGGCCCCGCCCCCTCCCAGCTCTCCCCAGGCCCCGCCCCCTCCCAGCCCTCCCCAGGCCCCGCCCCTCCAGCCCTCCCCAGGCCCCGCCCCTCCAGCCCTCCCCAGGCCCCGCCCCCTCCCAGCCTGCCTGCGGGGGTCACCGGGCCCAGTTGCTCCCCAGACGCGCCCCGTAGGTTGGATGCAGGGAGAGACGGAGGACTGGGCTTAGACCTGGGGACGCTGTCCTAGAAGGCCCGTGAGAATAGCCGGTACCTGTTTCAGCGTTAGTGTCGCTGGAGGTAAGCGGGAAGTAGCCATGTCCTCCACACTGCGCGTTTGTTAGAGTCACAGTGCGCAGGAGCGGAAGTGGAGGGAGGGACGAGGGGGCGGGGCGAGTTCGGTTTCCTGGGAGACGCCTGTAGCTGGGCCATCAGCTTGCAGCCCGGGGAATCAGTTTGTTGTCTTAGCCCAGTGGTTGGCAAACTCCTTATCAACAGAGCCGAATATCAACAGTATAACGACGGAAATTTCTTTTGAGAGCCAATTTTTTTTTTTAAACTTCTTCTAACGCCACTTCTTCAAAATAGACTCGCCCAGGCTGTGGTATTTTGTGGAAGAGCCACACTCCAGGGGCCAAAGAGCCGCATGTGACTTGCGAGCCAGTTTGTCCACTAGGGTCTTAGCCTGAGTCTCATGGGTTCAATGGGATGGCAGTTTCTGACATGGACGGCTGAGAATGGAGTGAGTGGGAAGGCATTTAGCTCAGTTCCTGACACATGGTTTTGAGTTTCATTAAATGGAAGTTCAGTTTTTTAGAGGTGAGGGGGGAAATTATTCTGGTGTACTCCTTTTGAACTTTTTGAATGTGTACAATTGGGAATACTAGAAGCTTACATGTTAATTTACTTTAAAATTTGTGCCCTCTTCGTCTTTTTCTCATCCTGCCCTTTTTCATTGCAATCATTTTCCTGCCAGGTGGCAGTCTTCACGATCCTTAATTACCAGGCTTTCAATGGCTGCCCCATTGCAGCTTTAAGAACGCTGTATCCCTAATAACAAGGAAATGCACATCCTGTTTTCATCCCCTCATAATTATCTTGTCCTTCCAACACACACGTGTTTAGATTATAATACTATAAGGGGGTTAGTGAATCTTTGCTGTATTTATTTTCTAAATATGGTGTTCCAAATTAAAATACAACCAAACAGGATCTTTCAGTGATCTGTTTACTTGATGAACCTTTACAAATATGTTCAAGTACCTGTTGCCTCGCGTTTTTGGTGCTTCCTTTTCCAAATTGTGCTCTGGCTGCTAAACCTCCCATTGAAGTGAGATGATTAGCATCTCCCTCAGAGCCCTTGTGTGTGTAATGCACTGAGAACAGGGTGTGGCACATATAGGCACGCTAATGGTGAGGTTTTTTTTTTTTTTTAACATTACCAGGCTTACCCCATGACCACTTTTTCAAAATTTGTGTACTAATTAGCAATAGCAATTCATTGATTTCCCCCCCCCCCCCCTTTAATTAGTGAAGTTTGTCCAGCTGGCAGGAGGTCATGGTTTGATTCCTGGTCAGGGCACATGCCTGGATTGTGGGCTCCATCCCCAGTGCAGGAGCTGATAAATGATTCTCTCATCATTGATGTTTCTTTCTTTCCTCTCCCTTCCTCTCTGAAATCAATAAAAATACACTTAAATGTTAATGAAGTTAAATATCCCTGACCACTTTTATTTTTTTAAATATATATTTTATTGATTTTACAGAGAGGGAGAGAGCGAGCCAGAAATGTCCATGAGAGAGAAACACCGACCAGCTGCCTCTTGCACACCCCCTACCGGGGATGTGCCCGCAACCAACATACATGCCCCTGACCGGAATCGAACCTGGGACCTTTCAGTCTGCAGACCGACGCTCTACCATTGAGCCAAACCGGTCTCGGCTCCCTGACTACTTTTAGTTACATTTCTATTTTGAATTGTATGACTTTGGTCCATTAATGCTGATTAAAACTTTTTTTTATATATAATTAATTCGTTTAACTTAAATTATTGTTTAAAGGACTTTTATTTTAATTTTATGTGGGCTGACTTTTTTTTTTTAATTTTGGTTGTTTATGTAGCTTTAACTCTTTATACTATACAATAATGTGTATTTTTTGAGGCTTTTCAATTTTTAATTTTTTCATTGTTAATGTTTAAAATATTTACTCCAACTAGAATTTATTTTGATTCATGGCATGATGTGGATGTTAAGTTCTTTTTCAGCTGCTCAGCTATACTTTTGATACCATTTAATAGTTTATTCCTCTTCCTGGACTTTATGAGGCCTATATGGTAAATTCTCTTAGGATTTGAATAATCCAGGATTATTTCACCTGTGACTAGTTTTTAATTTTTTTGTGTTATCTATTATCTGGCAAGAAGACTCCCTTATAGTTTCTTGCCCAAATCTTAATCTTCTGTAGAAAACCTTTAGAAATATTTTGTATTTCTAGACCCCCACCCATGCATGAATTCATGCACTGGGCTTCTAGTAAATTAAAAAATGTGTGAGAACAGACATTTTTACCCCATTTTTTCTTCCCATCCAGACATTTGCTTGTTAGGCACTGGTAATGCTGACATGAGCTATGTTTGCTCCCTGTCCGCAGCCCCACACTTTGGGAAGACATGTAAGTCTAATACAGATGTCAAGGTTCATAATATGGGGGCTCATTCTTCCTGGAGGGTTTATCAGAGCCATGTGTTTGTCAGAAAGGAAAGTAGGTAAGAGAATTCCAGAAAAGAATGTGTGGAACAGGGCAGATTCTAGAATCCTTGTTGTTTGCTGTGATAGATGGAATAGTGTGGTAGGGATTCAGAGAGAGCAAGGCAGCAGAGTCAGGGCACCCTAATAATGCCCTCTTCACAGCGGAGACTTCTGGAGGAACTTTTGAAAGATCTCCTTGGATATTGTGAGTAGGATGAAGTGAAGTGATTACTACAGGATACTATTTAATACTCCTGGCTACAGTAAAAGAATTCCCGCTACAATGCCATCAGAGGAGTCAGATAAGATAAACACCTAGAAGTTAGAGCAGACAAGACTAGGGTTTGGATGAAGAAAGAAAAGGCAGATGTAAAGACTGAGTAGCACTAGTGTGTCCTCGGAACCTTCTAAGTGATGTGTGCTTTGTACTCTGGGCCAGGGTCTGCCTGTCCCCCTCCCCCAATCCCTGATAGGTCTCCTGTGACTGCTCCCATGCTTCCTAACCCTTTCCCCATCACAGCACAAGCTGAAAAGGGCACTCTTGGGTAGCTGCTTACTGGAATGCCTACTGTCCCAGACCCAACCAGCTGCTCCAGGGCTGAGGGAGTCACTATCCTAGCAAACCAGGTGCAGCACTCTGGTTTAGATGGTCCTATCAATTAAAGGTAGAGGGAGACTATTGCATCACTGTCATGTCGTTTTCTCCCCTACCAGATCCAATCCTACCCCATAAACGGCTTTGACATGAAATCTGAATGGAAGAGATGTGTCATTTTGGAACAGAATCTTTACGAGCCATTGTTTCCACCAACTCGCCATTTCTCCATCGCCACGAGGCCCGCAACTCACCCTCTGTGGACATGGAAACAAGTAAGAAATAAACGCGACTGTAGGAAAAGCCACTGATGTTGTGGGGTCATGCCAGTCTAAGGCAGTGACAGCTGACTGGTCCAGCAGATAAGACCATTCCCTTTGCACTTCTCTGTTGTGTTCCATTAAGAATGGTCACAAATTATATCACCACTGATATATTTTTTAATAGTTTTCAGAATATAAGCTGCATAGCTTTTTAGAATAAAAAATAAATGATATAACATCAGGTACATGCTTTGGGACTCTTGGTTAAACAAACAACAAGCAATCTGTGTCTTTGTTGACCACCTCAAAAAGAGTGGCAAACTTCACAGTGTAACTTGATAACAGACATGGAGATAGACAATTACATCATGGCATGTTGTCTACAAAACAACATTCTGACGGTCAGAACTTAAGTAGAACAGTTTCAAGTATTCAAGCACTGCTTTCTGGCCAAGTAAAAACCGTTGATGTATTTTGACTGGGGAAAAAAATAGATGTAGCTGCTTAGTTCTTCTGGATACAGCATATATTTTCCAGAATAAAACTGGCTCAGTCCAGCTTAAAAGCAGTGTAAGGAATGATTCTTCCCCTTAACTGATAAGAAAAGGAACTAACTAAATAAATTACTACAACAGCAGGGACTATGGCACTGAGAGAATGGAATACACAAGGGGATAATCATCTTCCCATCATTGCATAGTCTCCCGAAGCAGCAAATGTGAAGGACACTGAAAAGCCACTTCATTTTTACGCAGCCCCCGGATCAGCTCCCCTGGAGCCCAGGTGGCTTCATGAGCACACACACACCTTCCGAAGAGGAGGCGGTTCTTTTCACGGGAAGCACAGGAAGGAAGCACACTCGGCCTCTGAGGACTGCAGCTGTCTCAGCCACTTGACAGCTTTTGGGTCTACACTTATGGGTTGGCAAAGCCAAACCTTAGAGTGGGGTCAAAAGCACAGCTCCCGTCAGGCCTTTAGCCAAAGGACTGGCACAGCTCCGGGCTCCTGGCAGCAAGTCCTCAAGGCAGGTGTCCAGGGTCCCTTCGAGGGAAAGCAGACAGCTGGGCCCACGGTGTGGACGGGCTGGCCTCCTCTCAGGCCACAGCTTCCAAGATGGGCTGGCAGGGCAGTCTCTCAGGTACGAGACCAGATGCCTGCTGCTCCTTCGCTGCCCCACCTGTTATAAGAACAGTAGCCTAGGCCAAGCAAGGAACCCAAGTTTTCTCTGAAATCATGTCAAAATGTACATTGCAATACATTTTTATAAATCAGACCTAAGATAAAACTTAGAGCTGCCAATTCAGAAACTGTGTCCAGAAAGGAGCACCTGGGCAAGAAGTAGCTCTTGACCGTGGTTTAAAGCCTCAGCTTTGGTCTACAGGTGGTCAGAGGCTGTCACTAACTCAAACCACTGCCTGAGAGCGTCGCTGAGCGTCTCGGGGAGTGCGTTCACGTCGCGAAGAATTATGTAGAAGGGGAATGGGAACTCCTCCATGTAGGATCGGATTTCAGGCAGCTCTCCGGGTCCTTTAAATATTGGCACTTTAATGTCCAAGATAGAATCCTGCCAACAGAAGACATTTTGAAATAAATCAGTGTCCTTGGCTAGCTCTTCCAGGCTCTCTCTCACCATTTTTTAGGCCTCCCGCATGTAATTCCTGCCTGTGAGAGCAGCTTTCATTACTAAGTAAAACAAACTTTCAGGACTCCTTAAGGAGGAAAGTCTTTCTGAGCACCCCTTCTAGAATAGGCACTGAAAGGGGGATAAAAAAACCCAATTTCCCTGTGACGAGTGTGTTCCATTCTCAACTTGGGTTATTCACATTAGATCTTCAACTTGCTGTCTAGGCTTTAACCTGGCCTGCAGAGACCATGCTTCCCTGAAACAGAACTGGCTGTGGACTAACATCTTTCACTTGGCAACTGATCTTCCTGTTGGGAGGAGGGCACTGCAGAGGTATGAGTAACTATCAAAAGCTGGTATGGGTAATTAAGGGGTGCTCTCTGGAGTCAGCCAGAATGCTGCCTTTCCTACTCATCACCTTTCCTAATCAGTAATTCTGTCCTTCACTAAAGTGGGAATAATCCCCATCTCACTGGGTTATTGCAAAGTTAAATGAGAAAATTATAAACTCCTAGAGCAGGGCCTGACAGAACACTGTGTTAGGAATTCTGAGTGTGATGGTGCAACCCAGGCCATATTTCAGATAGAACAGGCTGAAGACCACCACCTCAACGTTATCCCCAGAAAAGTGGCTTTTCGTAGCCACTCACCCGGGAACTGGGATTATCCAACACCACAAAAATGACGAAGATGTTCGCATTCCGGGCAGCCTGGACTGCCGCCAGCACTCTGTCTTTGCCCTCGAGGAAGAGGCCGCGCCCATCAGAGACCACCAGGAGGAGCTGTGCAGTGTCTGTAGTAGAACACAACGAAATCCATCTTTAACAATAATTCAAAACTACCTAAAGTAAGACAAATCAGTATAGGCTTTCTCTGTATTATTGACATCAAATAGCTCTGGATCCGATACATTCTGGGCATAAGTAAAAGGGACCTCTATTTAGATGTTACTTCAGATGCCTGCGTCAGGGACGGCATACGTACAAAGCTTCTGGGAATAAAACAGTTTCCCAGTAGTGTTTCAGGGGATGTCACATTTAGATCAACTTCTCTGGAGAATCCTAATAAAAGGGTAATATGCAAATTGACCATCACCCCAACACACAAGATGACCAGCAGAGGAGGGCAGTTGGGGAAAGGACCAGGCCTGCAAGGGAGGATGTTGGGGGCAGGAAGTTAGGGGTGATCAGGCCAGCAGGGGAGTGATTAGGGTGTGATCAGGCTGGCAGAAGCAGTTAGGGGCAAGCAGGTGAGCGGTTAGGAGCCAGCAGTCCTGGATTGTGGGAGGAAAGTCAGGCATCCCTTGAGGGGTCCCAGATTGGAGACGTTGCAGGCTGGGCTGAGGGACACACCCCTCCCGTGCATAAATTTCATGCACCGGGCCTCTAATTAAAATATAAAAATGCAGTACTGAGGAGGATATTAGAAGAAAGTGTCTGTCAAAAACCTGGACCTGTCTCTCAAAAACATTTTTTAAAAAAATATATTTTATTGATTTTTTACAGAGAGGAAGGGAGAGAGATAGAGAGCTAGAAATGTCAATGAGAGAGAAACATCGACCAGCTGCCTCCTGCACACCCCTTACTGGGGATGTGCCCACAACCAATGTACATGCTCTTGACCGGAATCGAATCTGGGACCTTTCAGTCTGCAGACTGACGCTCTACCACTGAGCCAAACCGGTTTCGGCTGTCTCTAAAATTTTTGCTGATTTCTCTTATTTTTTTCCCTTTAAAAACTCGGGGGGGGGGGGGGGGGCATTAAAAAATAAATGGTGAATTAAAATGTTTAAAAATATTCAGTGTATAATGTTATCAGCTAAAGATTATAGTGTCTGAGGGTGGGCTGTCTTTCTCTGTCAAAGACCTTTACCAAGTCTTGAGATGTATGAAAAAGACTTGCTTCCAACAGTTCTTCATGATACTATCATAACAGAGATTTCTGTGAAGAACTAGATAAAGAACTGGTGTGTTTCAAGGCCCAAATCAATCATGGCTGGGTTAGCTGGTTTCTGAATTATGTCCTCCTCTGTATGAATATTCTATAATATTTTATAACTTGCTCTTTCATAACTCTCAATCCAATCTATCAAGTAAGTGTATACTAGTTCAGTAGTATCTAATTCCTTCATTTATTATAAGCCTCCTGGGTATGGGTTTAATAAAAATTTCTAAATAAAGGAGTAAAAAAATTCCAGAATGGCTAATACCTCTCCTGTTTCTTGGTTTCCCTGTAGAGCATCCACATTAAAAGATGGTGATGGGTGCAGCGAGATGGAGCAGGCAACTTGCAAATATAGATAACAGAAAACCATTTTGTCAACAAAGGTAAGGGAATGCAGCTCACCTGGACTGATATTCTGTGAGAGCTGCCGAGCGGCTGCAAACATGTTGGCTACCGACTCTAGAAACTGAAACAGACAATTAAACTCTCTTCCCATTCTACAGGCAACCTAATTATCCCTTCAGTCACCTGCAGTCCAGACCACTGCTTGGTATTCACCGTTGAAATATGGCATACACCCCACTAGTGTTCTACATGACACCTCAAAGGAAAAGAAATACTTTTACTAGAGGATAAGAAGTGAATTAACTTTCCAAACGAACAAAACAGCTGTCTTTAAACACAAAATGTCCACATCAGAATTACTGTCTCGTGCTGTTTTGAGAACCTGTCATCATGAGCAAGTCATGTGGCTTTATTTTACATCATTTCTTTTCTAAGTTAACCGGGGAGAGAGATTGGCCCTGACCCTGAAAAGGGAAATGGTTTATTTTTCAAAAATATCGGGTCTAGTAATAATTAATGTCGTTTTTAACATTCGTTTAAAATCTTGCTTGGCGTTGACTTGTATTGACATAACCTTTAAACACGTGGTATCTACAGAACGTGTGAAGTGCAATTAACAAGTTTTGCTTGAAAAAGTTTGTGTTTGGTTTGGTTTTTGTTGCAAAACTAGGGCTAGGAAGATGGCGGATGAAGAGCATATTAGGCACTGCATGCTTTACGAGTTCCAATTAGGAAGAAAAGCAAGTGAGGCTGCAAAAAACATCTGTAGTGCTCTTGGTCAAGATGCAGTTAGCGCCAGAAAATGCCAGCGTTGGTTTGAGAAATTTTTCGTTAGATGACAAGAGTGGTCGAGGCCGTGTGTCCAATTTTGATCAAGAAGCTCTTCAAGCTCTTTTGGTGCAAAATCCTCAAATTACCCAGCAAAAACAATTTCCAGTCAATTGCGTGCACTTGGCAAAGTCCAAAAGTTGGAAATGGGTTCCTCATGAGTTGACCGACAACAACCGTAATCAAAGAGTCACAATTTGCAGTTCGCTCCTCTCTCGTCAAAACCGTTTGCCGTTTTTAGAGCAAATTGAAAAATGGGTGCTGTATGTTAATTTGAAAAGGCGGCCTCAATGGTTGGACAAAAATGAGGCTCCGCAGCCCACGCCAAAACCTGACTTGCATGCGAAAAAAGTGATGTTGTGTGTTTGGTGGAATTTTAAAGGAATTCTTCATTATGAACTTTTACCATCTAACCAAACCATTACAAGTGCAGTGTATAGTGCCCAATTGGAAAGGTTAGCCCAAGCTTTAAGAGAAAAAGAACCCGCGCTGATTAATCGGAAGGGCGTAATTCTTCACCACGATAACGCACGACCGCATACTGCAAGAATCACTGCTGAAAAACTGCGCCAGTTGGAATGGGAAGTTCTCCCTCAACCTGCATATTCTCCTGATATTGCCCCTTCCGATTACCATTTGTTTCGTTCTTTGCAAAACTTTCTTCTTGGAAAAAAATTTAATAATGAAGAATGCCTCAAAAATGCATTGACCGAATTTTTTGCATCAAAATCACAAGAATTTTACAACAGAGGGATTAAAATGCTGCCTGAGCATTGGGCACAAGTAGTAGAAAACAACGGCAACTATATTGTTGATTAAATTTTGTTGTATTGTTTAAATAAATTCGATTTAAAAAAGTATTAGAAAACGACATTAATTATTACTAGGCCTAATATTCCAAACCTCTCAAAAAAAAATGAGGAAATAAGGAGCCAGAAAAATCAAAGATACAAAGTCAAAAATGACGTTTGAGAAACTGAGGAAAAAGAGGATACACCGTTAATGAGTGCCAGGAAGTTTCTATCCCAGCAGGACACAGGCTGGGGTTTACGACTGTTCTGTATTGTAAATTTTGCCTGTCCTTATTCCACACTGGGAGGAAGGAGTTCTAAAAATCATGCCTCCACTAAACGAGAATATCTGTGCAGAGACATTTGATGTCATAAGCATACCTGAGCAATCTTGGTTTTTTTTTGTTGGAATTTGCAGAGCCGTAGAATCTGGGACCCCGAGTGATCACTGAACTGTTCGTGGAATGGGTGTAATAGCTTTACGGACTCTCCAAAACTTGGGGGAAAAGCCAAATATAATGAAGATTATTTTTTGCCACGTGCACAAAATAACCATAGAAGACTAGTTTTCCCAATGTGATTAAAAGGCATTCTTACCTGCACACTGCAATCTGACCCACTTCCAGAAGGGTTAGAGCATTTCCAATCACAGCCAAAGACTCAAACGCAAGCTGTGAAATAGTTAAGGGTTTGAAGGAATCAGAATATCAATCTTTTTTTATACCAAGATTCTTAACAAAAGACTTTTTTTCTCTTTTTTTGTATAGCCCATTAATACGGCTATTTACAACCAACCCAGAAGCTTGGTGTCCTTGGACCCTGGCTAATACCACATATGCTGAAACCCATTACACTGGTAGAAAAGGTTTGCTCTAGACATCATTCCACAAAAGTGATCTTGAGATATTTGTTCCATAAATTTTAAAAACTTACTTTTATGGTGACATAGAAAGTAATAATAATAAAATAAAAAAACCCCACAATTTTAATTATGTATATATGACTGCATTAGTTTTAAATTTAAATTCATATATAAAGATGTTGATTACGATGATACATATGGCAACTAACATCTAAATACCTATCAAGTGCTACACATTAAACCAAGTATTGTACATCCATTCAATTTAGTTTTCCTAACAACTCTAACTCTGATGAACTGCCCAAAGTCACACAGTAGTAGAGTCACGTGGTAGTGGGGAGCTGAACCCAGGTTCAGAGGCTAAACTTTTCCAGCAGAGCCTACATGTACATTTTAGGTTGCTCGTTGGCTTGTGTTGTATAACAGCAAAAAACAACACTCTTCAGTGTGCATATTACTTTCTATATAATTAAGTAATTCTATTCAGGCTCCTAAGCCTTGTTGGTACTGATAGAACTCTAACCATAGATAATTTCAAACTTAATAGAAAGGTGTGATGAATACATTTTTAAAAAAAGATATGTTGTGCATGGTTTAAAGAATGGCAGTACACAACATTTTGTGGAAAATACACATTGTCAGATTTACTTATTCTGCAGTTAGACAATAGCATAGCATGGCTATAAAACAATTTTAAAAACATATAACAGTAAGGAGCCAAAATATTTGAGATATCTTGAAATTGTCCTTTTGAACTCTTTAAATTTTAGGTCTTCTTAAACATGGTATTTGCATTCTCAGGAAAGAAAGACAAACCTGGTGTTTCCTCTAGGTCATATCTAAAGCATTTGATGTCCCAGGGCACAGGGTTTGATTTAGTTAACTTCTCTTTCTTACCTGTTTGGTATGGTTGTCTACCATGCTAGAGGAGTCATCGATAGCCAAACAAATTTGATACTGGCGTTTACTGGGCTTGGTCCTTCGGAGCCAAATCTTGTCTTTTCGGAATTGGCTAGCAATGTATGGGATGACCTTCCGCATGTTCAATCGCTTCCCAGTTCGATAGTCTCCTCTATTAAATTTACCCAAATGGGACAAAGATTAAAAATTGCTCATCCTTTGAAAACTTTAAAAATACATTATCCCCAGTTATACAAAAAATAACCAGTGACCTGGCACAGTGAAGTGTTACTGCAATTGAGGTTTAAGGGCCAGGATCTCCTGATCAGCAACCAGAAAAACTGGCTATGTATGTGACAATAAAAATTAGATCCAAAAACATTAAGACTTTTTTTAAATTAAAAAAGTTTGCATTCTCTTTTCTGTTCTACAGCTATAATCTTGGACCCATCTTTGAAAAGATCTAGGTGAGTAACATGCAACAAGCGAATAACCCGACATACAGCAGCAATATAAGCAGCACACACAAAGGCTCAGCAATTTCCCATCAGTTACTCATGAATCAAAGGAACTGGGTTCGTGCCAAACTTCACTGAATCCTGTGGTAGACAACAGACTAGGGAACACTAAGCTGGAGCCTGTGCACCAGAAATGGCAATCCGAAGCCGTAAGTGGTTAAGTGCTGCGCTCAATGGAAAAGGCGATACTGCCATGTGGCACTATTTCAGGGCTGTTCAAGTGTACCCGAGGGAGACGACTTACTTCAGCTTGGCTGCCTGGGTGGGCTCTAGTATGAGACGAAGCTGTTCACACAGCTGCTGTGAAAGAGGTGCCGTTAAGATCAGGTAGCTGTGCCACATTTCAGCTGCAGCCTTTTCCTGTGACAACAGAAGAACATGTACATTACCTTCACAATGTCAGAGCTGACCAGTCATTACAACCAGGTGAAGCTTTGACACTAAGAAACACTTCAAAGTTTTTCTTAGCTGCTATCTAATTTACTTGATTAAAAATGTCTCCCTTCCCACAAAAACCACAATTCACAGTTCAAACTGTAAAATACTGAAATACATGACCAAATCAATGCCTTCCTCACATCACCTGCAGAGTATAACCTGTATCCTTCATGTGGAGAGGGAGCTGTGAATGGGTAATTTTGGTCTCAACAGATCCAGCCCCTTAATTGTGGGCTCTCAGGGTCATGTTTTAAAAGCAAAAGTGACACATTAAACAGTGTGCTTATTTCCTGGAAACAAAGCTCCATGTTTTATGTTTTGCCAACATGTGGTGGGGATGATGATGAGACATAAAATCAAATAAAATATGTATATATACAGTAAATTCAGAATGCAAAAAAATTAAAAGTGAAACTTCTGATTGATCTACACTTCCGTAATACACCACCTGCTAATGCTCCAGGTGGCCTGAGAATGATATAGTATCCCTTTGCCCCGTTTTCAACCATTGAAACAACCATTACAGAGTAAACAACAGAAGTTAAAAAAATTAATCACATCATTTCTGTTTTAAATTAAAGGTCTAGTGGCAAAGCAGGCAAGGGACAAACTTGAGAGCTTTAGGATTATAATTATACTCCATGTACTCAGTCCCTTTTATAAGGATTCTGGAGCTAAGGATCTATTAAGTTTCTGTATCTTAAAAGTCAAGATATTGTATGAAAAGGCCAGTGACTTACTTCTTCTGGGTTTCCAGGTTCATGTGGCTGCCACCTTTCCAGCTGTCTCTCCAGCTCCTGTCTTAGCTCATCAACATCTTTTAAAAAGGACTAAGAAGAAAAACCACAAATGAGAGGCAGCCCATGTTGGAATCACAAACTCAGTCAGGCTGCCTTCTTCTCTGCAGTATGAATCCAAGTGCAAACCTCTGAGACATAATACACAAGCAAATTTTTAATATCTTTTTATTGATTTCAGAGAGGAAGGGGGAGAGAGAGAAGAAACATCAATGATGAGAGAGAATCATTGATCGGCTGCCCCCCCCCCCCCCAATGGGGATCGAGCCTGCAACCTGGGCATGTGCCCTTGACTGCAAACGAACCCAGGACCCTTCAGTCCACAGGATGATGCTGTATCCACTAAGCCAAGCCAGCCAGGGCAACACACAAGCAAATTTAATGGCACAGTAAGGAGATACCAGACAACAATCCTTCTGCTTCCCATTTGTTGAGACAAGATGGATAAAGGAAATGTTAACTTTTATCAACTGAATCCAGCAAAACAAAACCAAATGCCCAAGAAGATATCAATAATGAAATAATTATTTGATTAATTAAGACTGCCATTAAGTCAAATAATTAGGGAAACAACTTGGTTATTCTGTTCTTCCTAAATGCAGGCATTAAATCAAAGATCCTGTTACTTAACCAACACAAACTGTTAACCCTCCTGCCAGCTCCTTACACAGGATGGACATGAGAAAAGATGTGACAGCTGGAGGCCCAAGGACCAGATCCACCGTCACCCCAGGTCAGGGCACAAATCACCTGCCGTGACCCTGGGATTAACCATTAGAACAGTGTTTTATCTGCTTAGAGAACGCCTGTCATACCAACAGTGATCCTAAGAAATCTGTTAAGGATATGATACCCCAAAACAAACAGGTATTCCATAAAGTTCTAAAGACAATGATTGAAAGGAATTTATAATTACATTTGTCAACTTAGTGAAGTAGTGACTTCTGAAAGATTATTTACCCCCACCCTAATCACCCTACCCCTACTTGTGCAAGTTTTAGTACCTGGAAAATCGTGTCCACGAGGAACTGATGGGCTGTATGAATGGTTGAATCTCGGCTTCTCTCAGGTTTCTCATTCTCTGCCTCCTTGGGGGATCTGTCTGTCCTGGGGTCTTGGTCTTCCTCTGTTTTAAAAGTTTTGGTCTCCATCTCATCAACGCCTATTTTCATAAAAAGACAGAGTTACTTACCATATTAACATAAAGGCAGCTTTCATGGTTGTCTTTCAATCCTAACAATTACTCAGACTTCACTCATTCACTCCCCAGCATGTCTCCACTTAATGGTTCCACATGTTCTTCCACTCTGTAATGGTCATTACCAATTCTTATTCCCCTAACTTCTCCTTCTCCCCACCTTGATATTGAAGGCAGCTGTTCTGGGAAGGTGGAAATAGGGGAGATGATAGTTCACATTGACAAGCCCTGAAAAATTGTGATTCTTTAAACTGTGCATGTAGAGCTTTGATAAAAATAAAAACTAAAATAATTCATTGTTCCATTTTATAGATGAAGAAACTGAGGCTAATAATTTGCCTTAACTGTGAAGTAAGAGGCAAAGTCTAGATTTGAATCTGCGAGTCAATCACAGAGCTGTGCCTTCCCACCGTCAGATAATGGCCAGTCAATCCATGGCAGCAACACCCCTGAGAGGACGGGAAGGAGGAAGAAAAAGTTTTCTAATTTGGCAAGCTCTTTTGAATTTGCCTTTGTTCCATTACTGACAGTTAATTTTTACACTGCTTATAGTATTACATTTCTTTTTTTTCTTTTTTTAAATATATTTTTTATTTATTTTGTACAGAGAGGAAGGGAGAGAGATAGTTAGAAACATCGATGAGAGAGAATCATCGATCAGCTGCCTCTTGCACACCCCCTACTGGGGATATGCCCGCAACCACCGTACATGCCCTTGACCGGAATCGAACCTGGGACCCTTCAGTCCCCAAGCCGACGCTCTATCCATTGAGCCAAACCGGTCTCGGCGTATTACATTTCTTGGCATTTAAAAAATATATATTTTTATTGATTTCAGAGAGAAAGGGAGAGATAAAAACATTAATGATGATAGAGAATCACTGATTGGCTGCCTTCTGAACGCCCCTCCCCCCCCCCCCCCCCCCCCCCATCAAGCCCACAGCCTGTTATGTGTCTTTGATCAGAATCAAACCTGGGACCCTTCAGTCTGCAGGCCAGCACTCTATCCACTGAGCCAAGCAGCTAGGACTTGGTTGTTTTTTTTTTTTAATGTATTTTATTGATATTTTACAGAGAGGAGGAAGGGTGAGAGATAGAGAGCTAGAAACGTTGATGAGAGAGAAACATCGACCAGCTGCCTCTTGCACACCCCCTTACCGGGGATGTGCCCGTAACCAATGTACACGCCCTTGAATCGAACCTGGGACCTTTCAGTCCGCAGACCGACGCTCTACCACTGAGCCAAACCGGTTTCAGCTAGGGCTTGGTATTTTTAATGTATTTTTTATTTCAGAGAGGAGGGGAGAGAGAAATAGAAACATCAATGATGGGAATTACTGATAGGCTGCCTCCTGCACACCCCACATTGGGGATGATCAAGCCTGCAACGTGGGCTTGTGCCCTTGACCGGAATCAAACCTGGGACCCTTCAATCCGCAGGCTGACACTTTATCCACTGAGCCAAACTGGCAAGGGCTGAGAGTTATTTTTTACTGTGTTGAATATATTTTAAAGAACTTGTAATAGCCATTGGTCAACTATGAAATTGAACTGTATGTAAGGAAGTTTGTTACTTTCTCACATGTATTGTCCCCATTCTATATTTATAACATTTTTAATGTATATTTTCATGTAATAGAGAACATTTCTCTAATAGTCAAGAATATACCTTCTTGCCACAATTGGATAAGTGCTCTATTCTGTTCTGCATGTTTTAAAAAGGTGGATGGGATTTTGTCTGAAAGGCAAGTTTCAGTGGTCTCCTTGAAAGAGTGTTTTACACCACCACTCTTCCACTATGAAACACGATACAGTGACATTATAGACCAACAAATGTCTAAGCCGGGGTTTAGGATGTGGAAGTAAAATACAGTGCAAGAGAAGCAACTTCTCTAAGTAAGAGAGCTTAGGAGGGGTCTGTTTTCTGTAAGACTCACCGGAGCCTGCTGTGGTCCCCGACTTGACCTCCTCTGGCTTCAGCTGCTCCGCGTCGACTGCTCTGAGCTCCTCCTGCTCCTCCACGTCCATGAAGATGTCCTCTCTTTCTTCCTCCTCCTGCTCCTTGCTGGAATCTTTTGCAGACTGTTGCTGCTCCATGCTGGCTACATCTGTTAAAACAGTGTACACACACATAGAAAGCCTAGGTCTTTGCAGAACAAAATAATCATGAGTGGGTGTGGTTTCTGTCATTAATGCTGGTTCTGCCACTGATGGGCTATGTGCCTTAGACACAGTGCTGGGCTTGTTTGTGCCCAAGATGTCCTACTAACCTAATTATGTAACTTCTATTCTCTCCATCCCACCTCCTCAAGCCTATCATGTAACTACACATGTGACCACAGAAGTAGGATGTTTAGCTGAACCAGAATAAACAGGCTGGATACATGGCACATGATTCAGAGCAGCTATGGGCATCATCTTCCATTACTAAGTGATGGTGACACTTAGCAGAGAAACATGAATATGGGAATCCCTGCATCCTGATCTCGGACAAGTTCTTAAACTTCTTTGGCTTCAGTGTTCTCATCTATACACTTGAGATATCCCCACTCTCGAGATGGCTAGAGGAATCCATAACCATGTTTAGTATCTGGCACAAGTAAAAGCTCAATACATGGTAGCTGTGACCATTATTTTTTATTTTCCTAAGGGGTAGGGACAGAAGAGGAGAAAAGTAATCTATTGTAGAGGAATTGCTTCTGTACTATCCTCATTGGTAGATATTATCAATAGTATTTCACATATTAGGAATAAAACCGTGGAAAGTCACCAAGAACTAGAGAGACTGACAAATGACTACTCCCTTTCCATGTAAAGAAAACACATGTATTTCAAGTTTATGACTTCTGCCACTGCAGGGAGCAGCCTCAAGGTGATTATGAAGAAATTTCTAGGACTCTGAAAGCCCTAGATCAGTGCTGGGTTTGGATACAATAGTTATCCAAGGTATTTTAAAAACTTACACTAGACCCAGAAACACTGAGCATATGCACTTGGCCACAGATACCTTTAAACAAAAAGCAAAAGCCATTCCTCTCCCTCCTAAAGATAAATTTATAGTAACAGCTGGCAGCACACAGTCACACAGCATAAGCTCTGAGAGCTCAGTGAGCAAAGAAACCTTCCCTGCACCTACCATAGGTCTGCGCATCGTAAGGGTCGCTCCCTTGTTTAATGTGCTCAAATTCAGCCGCGTCCTCCGCCTGGTCCTGGGGCTGGACCGGGGTGGGCTCCTGTGTGTGGCTGTCCATATCCACAGTCCTCAGCCTCTTGTGCACGTGCTCATTGTGATCACCCATGGAGCGTTCATTGTTGGCCTGTCCAGGTTTCCTCTTAAAACTCTGGGAAATAGGAAAGAAATGCATCAGAGCCTTGTCTAATAGGAAAAGACTAAAAATAACCACAGTGCCCGACCCTGGGGGGCTGGTTAAGTAAATTAGGTACAGCCATACAAAAGTGGAATTCAACATAGCTGTTATAAAAAACAGGTAGTTCTTTACATACACATATCCACATTTGCAGACATCATTAAGAAGACAAAACTGGTAGTACTCACTTCCTTGGGTGACTTGAGAACAGTAATAGGATGTATATAAAGATTTTGTATTATGTGCATAAATTACACCCCATTAAAAAAACACCTTTTAAACTCCAAAGACTATGGACATTGAAAAGATTAATACTGGCTGGCGCTGGGCAGCACCACCAGGATCTTAGGCTCTATAACAGGAATGGGGTGGTGGTGTGTGTGTCCATGTGTCCATGATGCTGCACAGTCCACTGGGAAAGCCCCAAAGTTGTGGCCTACTCACCAGGGCTGCCATAGAGTCTGGTCGAACATGGACAGCAAAGGTAAAGAATGTGGCTTTTTT